TGGGGTGGATGGCTTCTTCACAGGGGATAAAAAGAGCTATCAGCCTATGACGGCTGGAAAAATCATTACAGCATTACCTTGGGAGTCCAAGAGGAGACCCCAGCTCAGTCCTAAGTGGCAGAATCAGCTCTGGTGCCAGAAATCCTCATCCAAGCTGACTACAATCCCACTCACCCCTCTGCAAAGGCATCTAGGCTCATCCAGGGCTGCCCTTGATAAGAGATGGAGAAGAGCAAATGCCCCTGGACAGACTATGGAAGCCACTGCAGCATTCCTCAGAAGCCAGGCAGCAGGCTGAACTCACACAGGACTAGAGCAGAAAAGGTGCAGCAACCAACCCCAGCACAGCCTGCCCTGGCAGACTCTGAAAAGGTAACAGGGCCACTCTGCCTGTCCCAAGAGTTACCCACCTGTACTTGGCCTCCCGTCCCACAAACTGGACCATGCAGCGCATTGAGATGACTGAGGAAAAACAAAACACACACAGGTGATGTGGTGGGCCAAACCTCATGATGCCCCAGCCGCCGGGTGCCGGGTGCAGAGTGGCCACTGAACAACATGGCCTGTTCAGACAGCAGGAGAGGAAGAGGGACTTTGGGGTTCCCTGTCACATCCCATGACCACAGCGCCCCATTTCTTCTGCCTGGGAAGAGCCCCACCTCCCTTTGGAAAGAATTCCAATCTCTCCTCAGTGGGGTGGGTTCCAGTAGAATACCTCCCACCCCACTACCACTTCCCAACCGGTCTAAGACTGTCTATCTACAGTCCACGAGGGGGCGCCCCCACCCCACGTCCCCACCCCGGCTTAGAGAGTCTCGGGGAAGGGGGGGCTTACCGTGCAGGGGGTGGGCCAACATGCGGGACACACACTGCATCATCATCTCATAGGAGGTCTGGAAGAGAGCATGGGGTGGGGACTCGCCACCCGCGGCCTGTCTCTGGAACTGGCCCTCGAGGGGAGCTACAAGTGCTTGGGAGGGAGAAACCCGTCCCAGGGACTGCACGTGGGGTCGGTCTGCCAAGGATGGCTCCACCTGTTGCCCCACTCCCCAGTCCCCCACCCAGGAGTGCTGCCGGGTCCCAGGCTAGGCCCAACAATGGCTGAGAAGGCTTTCCGGGGTTCCCTGCGCACCCAGGCCAGGGCTCCTTCCCTTACCATCCCACCCATGCATGCACGAGGACCCAACTCTTCCACTTGTCAATGACCTGCCCAACTTGGGGGTGAGATATCATTAGGCTCCCCGCCACACGCCTCTCCCTCTCCAACTCTCAACACCCACCTCCTTCACAACTTTCTTCAGGGAAGTCTTCATATCATCCTTGTTGGAAACCTGCTCAATCTCATCTGGAGGGAAAACCTGAAACAGGGAAGGGAAAGAACCAAGTTCAGCTACGCCTCTTCCATGGAACTCTTCGGGGACTCGGGTGGCAGGAACCAGCTCCAAATATTTCCTCTGCAGTGTCTATTGGCTGGGCCCACCTCAGGTGACCTCCAGGTCAGGTCTGGAGCGTGGGGGAAAAAGAAAGCCACCATCTGGTGTCACAGCTGTGGGAAAGCAGACCTGTGGGGTGGGAGCTCTCCCATGGGGCTTCCAACGGTCTGGGAAGAAGGAGGCAGGACCAGGGTAACTGGCTGCTGCAGGAGTGGTTGGGAGTATGAGGAAACCTCGGGCCACTGTTCCTGGTTTTGTGTGGGCTCACCTTCTTCATGCTACCCCGAGTCACAGTGGAAAGGGCGTTGGACATCAGCCGGGGACTCAGGCCTCGGAACAGCCCTATCTTACCATCCACTTGCACAATGTACTTGGCTGTAAGAAAACAGAGGTGGTAGAGGAGTTACACCCAGTTCAGGGGCACCCACTCCTGGGTCACACACACCCAGACCAGGCTCGGCTTGTCCCTCAGGTAACTGCTGACCACAGGCACAGAAGGGAGCATCTGTCCAGGACCTGGAAGCGGTCAGGCCCTAACCCCCAAATGTCTTCTAGCCCATTTCTTTTAGTAAAAGCCTCAAAATCTATTTCTAACAAACAAGTTCATACATTTTCCTTCCTTCCCTTCCCTTTCCCTTCCCTTTCTTTTCCCTTTCCTTTCCTTTCCTTCCTTCCATTTTCTCTCCCTCCCCCTTCCTCTCTCCCTCTCTCTCTCTCTTTTCTTTCTTTCTCTTTTTGCTTTAAAAACTCTACTTGGCAAACTCAGTCGTGATTTCTCAACTCAGCAACTTAAATGCTGCAACACAGAAAACAATTCTGTTGCTTAAAAGTTATGTTTTTCTTGACGAAAAGAAAATAGGAAACACAGAGAAACTGCCCACAGGGAATGATGAAGTCTGCAACCTAAAGGAGGGAAAAAGGAAAAGGAAGGGCTCCCGGAAGGCAGGGTCAAGAACGCCCCCTGCACACGCGACGGCCCGGGTAGTCTCCACCCTGTTACTGTGCTACACCCAGGATACCACCTGGCACCTGTTGGCATTTATTAGTCAAGGGAAAAACAAGTCTATGGAGAAGTAACTAAAACAGAAGTACCAATGAACAATTCCACAGAATAAACTTAAATGTTATGGAAGCTAGACCCTACCTGTGTGAGTTAGTGTTTCTTTCACTAGGGTCTCTCTTTCTAAGGATACGATTCATTGTTTTCTATCAACACTTTAAACATGTTTTAAATGGCAGGGTGGTATTTTTATAAACCTGTGCATCTGGAAGCTAGCAGAACATTCTCTCAGACAGCATGCTCCCTCTTTTAGACCATGACTTTAGCTCTCTGGCACCGCGCAGAGGCAGGAAGAAGCAAATCTGCCTTTTGCTCCTCCCAGATGTCTGCCAGCCCAGCAATTCAATGTCACAGCTAGCATGGGTTTTTCACGAGGCTGAGAACACCTGTTACCTGTATATGTGATTTCCTGAGATGGGGGTGGGCTGGAAAGAGAGGAGGAGGAAGGGAGGGGATGCTGGGTGACTTGGCAAGGTGCCCTACTTCACAGACTGAACAGACAGAGGAAAATTTGCTTTGGGGGAGGGTGGATCCTAGAGAGGAGAGGGAGCCTCAGGACCTCTGTGTGTGATCCTGAGCAAAACATCTACCCTCTTCCATCTGGCCACCTGTAAAAAAATGGAATAAGGACCTTCATTTCTCTCCATTTCCGAGGGGCCTGGGGAACAAGGGAGAGCGGAGAGAGGCGTGCTGAAACGCCTGCAGGGGCCTCTGTGGGTCCTAAGGCCTCAGGCTGGCCAGGGCCCCCCTCATTCCGGGTCTTTCTGCAGTGCCTGGAAACCCTCTGGGAAGTTCTTTCTTCTATACCAGAGAATGTCACGACAGCTGCAGTACTTTCAGCCATGACAAGTAGAGGAGCAGACACTGTCCACGCTGTACCAGAGAGCCAAATGGCGGGTACCCTCCCTGACTCCAAAGTAGGCCTAGTGTCCGGAGATCCCCAACGGACATCTGCTCACCCCTAGATTAAAGCTACACTTATATAAACAAGGCTGGGGGCACACCTCAGAACTCTGCTCATCCTCACAAGAGGCAGTAAGATGAGGGTCAAGTTCCCTCTGCTCTGTGTCCTTTTGGGAATGGCTGTGTCACATGAATAGAGATGATCTGGGCTCTAATCTCACCTCTCAGAACATAGCAGGTGCAACCAGATCCAGAGAAGGCCCCGTGCAGGGCCGCAGCCCTCCACCTGGGCTGCCTTACCTCTCTGTATACTGCCTCACTATGCAATGGTGGGGTGCCTTCCTACTTCTGTCATTCCCCACTCCACTACGCTGACAAGTTTTAAGTAAAAAACAACACAAACACATTTCCTCACAAGATGACACATTCCACCTGGCCCTAGACTCTGCACTCAACAACACAGGGACAAAACTGGAAGAGAAATATGACACCCAATTCTGCCAACAGCATGTGAAGTGGAAAAGGTAACACAGAGGCCAAGCCCCAAGTTACTCAACAGAAAGATAGATTCTGGAGAACATTCTCAGGTAAGAGCAGAGGTGCAGGAAACTTGAGGGGACTCGCCTGGAATGGAACTCCAGCTGTGAACATGGAGAGAAAGGGCACGTTTAAAGAAGGTCCTCATCATGGTCATCTGGTGAGGGTGGGGACTGGGAGAGGAACATGACAAGGCCCTGGCCAGCCGGCACCTGTGGGCCAGGGGATGGGCAGCAGAGGCAGCAAGGTGGGCTTCTTGATGACAGATGGGGAGCCTGCAGGAAGGCCTGGGCAGGAGAAGCTGACCTTACTTTGCAGACAAGGGGTGCAGCCGGGCCACAGCAGGTAAGTGGCCCGCCCAAGCTCACGCAGCACACAGAAGTGAAGCTGCAATTCACTGCACACCATTCTGTAACCAACAGATGGAGACACCAGAGCGAGTGAGCACCACTCACTGCCTGAGGAATGCAGGGGAAACAAGACACCCAGGTGGGATGAAAGAAAAGAACGCAGGAGGAGCCCCACAGGCCTTCTACTGGAGTAGCAGGGCCAGGCTGCTCACAGGGCAAAAGGAAATCACCCCCACGCCTGTTCCAGGCACAACCCGGGGCAACAGAAATAACAGGGACCAGTGTCCTCTCTCAGGCACCTGTGTCTGTCCCCTCCTACTGTCTGGGCTGGCAGCTGGCAGTACCGGCAGAGGAGCTGGACGAAAGCTGTATGGTTCACCTGCTCCCACCCCGACACCATGCCCTCTCTGGACATGCTTAGATCCCCTCCTCTGTGCCAGCTCAACTCTGCATGCCGTGCTGCGCGGTGGGTTCCCCAGGGCCAGCTGGTCCTGCTCCCCACTTGAGGCCTCTTTTCTGTTGGCGTGGGCTTTCCTGCTCGGGAGGCACACTCACCGTAGGTGAAGAAGCTCGGCAGATAGAGGACCTTCCTCCCCAGCACATTGGTCCCAAGGGTGGGGGGCATCGGCTCATGACCCACCTTCAGAATGAACAAAGACAAAGGGACGTTCAGCCTCACCACCTCTCCTCACACCTCCTGTCCCCTTTGCCCTCTTCTCCCACAAATTCTAATGTGGCTCTTGTTCGTGTTTTCCCCATCAAAACACCAGAAAGCTCGTCAGTGTCTCTAACCACAGGCAGCACGTAATCTCCCAATGAACAGAAATGCCTGGTCCCAGACACTGCCCAACCACAGTCCAAGTCACACCCACACCCCAACATTCTTATATTCAAATCCCAGATATTCCCAGTAGAAACATCTGTATGTACTTCAAACGCTACTCCCATCTCAGAACAAATCTCAGTTATTCTCATCTCCCAATGAAAAACTTCACCCCAACCTCAATTCCAAATGTGGCAATAAGAAAACACATCATACCCAAACCTCAGACAGGTCAGCCATTAAGTCGTCCATTCCAAAGTGCACGCCAAACTCAAATTTCTTACCAAATCTACTGCAGACACCTCCACGTCTATTCCTCCCATTCCCAGGCTTAGCAAACTATTACCTCAAATTCCAGGTGCTCCTCAAACACATCCTCAGCTGCGTTCTCTCCTCAATCACCCTACATCCCTGTGAAAAAATGACCCCCTCATTTCTGAAGGGCTATGACAGTTCTTGCTGTACAGATGCTTCTTATATCTGAAATGTTTATTTATGTATTTGTTTATTTATTTTTGAGACAGAGTTTAGCTCTTGTTGCCTAGGCTGGAGTGCAATGGCATGCTCTCGCCTCACCACAACCTCCGCCTCCCGGTTTCAAATGATTCTCCTACCTCAGCCTCCCGAGTAGCTGGGATTACAGGCACCCGCCACCATATCCGGCTAATTTTTTATATTTTTAGTACAGACGGGGTTTCTCCATGTTGGTCAGGCTGGTCTCGAACTCCCGACCTCAGGTGATCCACTTGCCTTGGCCTCCCTAAGTGCTGGGATTACAGGTGTGAGCCACTGTGCCTGGCCTGCAATATTTATTAAACCCATGGGTGGGTGAAGGACCATCCATATCCATGTGAGGAGGAGGAGGAAGTTCCTGTCGAGGGGTGAGAGCCCCTGATGCCAGGGAGGAGGCAAGGTGCCAAGGAGACCAGCACCTAGGTGGGGAGTGAGAAGGCCCCTTCCTCCCTTGGCAAGGGGCCAGGATACCAGCCCTGTGCCATCTAAGCAGGCCAGCTGGGCCCATGGACCAGAGTGATTCCTCTGAGATGTGGGAGGGGATTTGACCTGCAGCTGTGGGAGGCGCTAGAAGTGGCAGGTTTGAAAGTGCTACCTTGTAAACTGGATTAGGTATGCTTCCAACGCTTTCTGGGATCACCCCTGTCCCCTTTTGCCTTTATCAAGCAAGTGCTTTTGAAAGTTCAGGCTATCTCCTATGGATGTGATTCTGAGATGCCTAACAGATCAATGATTGTAAATTTAAAAACTCCTCTATGATGGGGACTGTCTTTAAAAGAAAAAAATTTTGACCTAGTGGAGCTAAAGGAGGAAAGGGGTGAGTCAGCTGACCCAGGCAGTGAGTACTTTCCTTCTAGACCTTTTCCCTTCTAGGTTAAAAGCTCCACGGTAGTTCTGAGTTAAGTTCTGTCTTGATCTGTGTTCTCTTAAATACAGATGGTACTCCTTTATACCTCCACTCCAAATCGCCATCACTGCTCTTTTGCCGTCCTTACCCAGTTTAGTCAACACTATTTGGGAATCCCACTGACCTCAATTTCATCCTTAAATCTGTAACATTATCCCATATCCCCATGGCTCCCAAATCTGTTGAATCTACTTTCTTCACTTCTATTGGGTTATCATAGGCACGCTGGCTGTATCTCATCCGCATTCCTCTCGCCTTCAAGTTTTAATTATTTGTTCCCAAGTCATTAAACCCAATTCCATCCTCAAATCTGTTAACCCAGTCCTAACTATGGCAAATGCTGTGGCCCTGTATCAGATACCAGCAGGGACAGTCTGTCATCTTAAAATCTTCAGCTCCCAACTGACAGCCACATGCCCTGATGTAAGGCACTGCATTCTTATGTACCTAATCCCCAATCTGTCACTCCACTCCTGACACCTCCACTCCCAGTAATTTGCCTTTCTGCAAGATATTACTCTGATTCCCAAGCTATACCCATTGAAGATCTTACCTTAATATATGTTACACTCAACACCAACGGGGTCCAAATCAGACAGGCACCTCTCTGGTCCTTCAATGGGGCTCATCCATCCTTACCTGCCCACCATCTAGTTCTTCTCATGCTTTAGAGTCCTTCATTACCCCATTCCCTTCCCAAACCACCCTTATTTCAATGTTCCTTCAAACCAGATCCGCCGTTGTCCAAATGATGAAGACACTTCTTCATTTCCCTCACATTGAGCCCTTGTGCTCTAGCATCCTTCACTCCACAGACTCTCCCACCTGTACCCTAAACTCCTAGCCTCATTCCATCAGTTTCCAGAACCCTCACTTCTCAGGTCCCACCAGTTCCAAAGCACCAATTTATCTCCCAAACTTCGAGTTCAACTGCTGTAAATACAATCTTACCCCTGTAAGACAGCCCTCATTTCCAAATCACAACCAAATGCCAGTCTTGGTCTACACCTTCCGCCATCAACAGTTTTCAAATCTGTCACAATTAGGGTCTAGTCAGGCACCTTGATGCCCCTGACTGAATCTCCTCATTCCTTGTCATATTCCTGGTCACACCCACAAATCTATTACCATTCCTCAGATCCCAGATTTCAACTACTCTCATTCTCAAGGCCTTCTCATTCCAGTTGTATTTTGCATTCTCTCAGTTCAATTATAGAGATGGTAAAATCTGACACCCACCTGCCTCAACTGAAATCTTGGATGGGTCTCCACTTCAATTTTTAACCTTCCTCCTCCCACTCTTCTTAACTGGAACATTCTGGCCTAATGACCCCCATCAAAACTGTACCCATCCCAGCCACACCCACCTAATTCTCACACCTCCACACGCCCTTCATTCCAGCTCACTCCTCTCAAGCAGCACACTTCATCTGTTCCGCATTGCTGGCCACCACCAAATCTGCCAAGTGCCCATGCATCCCTCCGTTCTAGAGACATCCCTACCTCGGTCTCAATTTCTGGTAATCCCTACCTATCCTGCCACCTATGTCTCCACTGTCCCTTCTGCCCAATTTCAATACTCCCGTCCTCCTTCTCCTCATCTGCCCAGATACAAGCACTGTGATTCCTCTCTGACCCCAACTATTGACTTCCATTTCCTCCTCCAAATGCGTCATCCCCTTCCCCGCTTAAAGCCTGCTCCTAGCTTCCCTCTCTAGACAAATCGCTGCCACGCCCCTCCCCCAATGCTGGCCCTATCTGTTCCCCTCCCCCCATACGCGTCACCCTGTCCCCTCCTCCTACCAAATCTGTCGTCGCCATCAAATCCAGAGCCCCCATCTCCGGTAAACCGATAGCATTCCCCTGCAAAATTCTTTGCCTTCGCACTCTCCCACCAAATTAAATCACAATGAAACCCAAGACCTGTCTTCTCTGTCCACCCCCAGTCTGGTGTCCTTCTTTCCCTCCTAAATTTCTGGCCCTGGTGCCCACTTTGTCCCCACCCCACGACGTTTTACATCCATCTCTACCAAATCCAGAGCCCCCGTTCCCCTCTACCCCAAATATGTGCTCCTCAGCCTCTAAACACTTCGCCCGGGCCCCCAACCTTCCTCCCCATCTCTTCACCCAAACTTCTCGCCCCTCCCCCAATTATGTTGCTTCTTCCCTCATCCCAAATTCGTTCCCTTCCCTATCCCAAGTCCATCGTCCCCACTCCTTTACTTCCCAAATATGTTTTTCCAGACCATCGCCCCCTCCTTGGCACCCCCCAAATCGCTTGTTCCTTCCACCCTCTCCCAAATCCGCTATTACTCTAACCCTTTCTGCATTCTAAAACCCGTGACCTCTGCGTTCCCACACGGCTTCCCTCCCCTCCCACCCACTTCGGCCCCCCAAACCCGCCGTCCCCACCCCTCTCCCCAAATCCGTCGCCATTGACTCCCCGCCCCAATCCTCCAAATCCTGGCCTGTCACCTTCACATCAGTCTCTCATCTCCCTACGGCGCCTCTGGTCCCCCACCTGGATGAGCAGCTTCACGTAGAGCAGGGGATGACTGAGCGCCGTCACGCCCGCGCCCAGTGCCACGAAAAGAGCCTCAGTGGTCGGGGCGTTGTCCCCAGACCCCAGGCCCCCTGACCCGCCGTCCATCCTGCGGGCCGAGGGCTGAGCCGCAGGCCGAGGGTGGCGAGGATGTGCGCGGTGCGCGGGCGGTGGATCGCGAGCTCGGGCCTCGACCCCCGCCGCCGCTCCGCCGCGAGCTCCGGCTCCAGCTCCGGCTCCCGCCATCCCCGCGGCACCGCCGCGAGCCCAGGGCGCCACTTCCGGGTCCAAAGCTCCCATGGCACCCGGCGGCGAGGTCACTCCCTGTCACGTGACGGAGGCCGCGCCCCTCGCTGGCGTCAGGGGGCAGGGCCGGGGCGCACCACTCTCGGCCGCGGGGGAGCTCGGGAGCGTGGCGCGGCGGGTGGGACACGCCGGATGTGGCCCCCGGGCCGGTGGGAGCCTAGCAGGACACTGGGTTGCGGGCCGGGGATCAATGGTGGCGGGCAGCCGGGTCCCCGGGCTCGGGAGCTGTGGCGGCTGTCGCAGGCCGGGGCGCTCCCCCGGGAGGCCCAGAGCACGCGGGGGCGGGGTTCGGTGCCTCCGGCTGCCAGACGTCCCCAATATGGTCTGAGGCGCTTCCAAGCCCCCTCCCTGGCTTCGGGATTTTTCTCTGTAGTTCTCTGCCCGCCCCTTTGCGGCCCAGATCCCAGTCGCCGCGGCCTGCGTGGAACTCTGCGCGAGCTGAATCTCCTGCTGCAGAACGACCCCGAGCCCGAACCCGAGCCCCTCCGCGGCCCCAGCCTCTTTGTCCGACCCCTTTCCCATCTCCCCTGCCAGGAATGCTCTCCCCACCAGAGCAAATCCAGATGTCCCCTCGGCGACTGTGGGCACCCTCCCCAACTGTGGAGCCTTCGCACGCCTTCCTCAGAGTCCGTGGTTGTAAAATTTGTTTTTCTCTAAAGTATTTGAGTGTCTCCCTCACTAGATCCTGAGGGTTTTAGTGAGTCCCTCGGTGTGAGCACACGCAGGCACTGCTGGGCGCCTGTAGTTGATTCTTAGTTAATACAAGTGAATAATCATAACTAGACCTTAATTTGCAGGAACTGTGTGACAGGCACTTTTTAAAATGCTTTACACGTGTTGATTCAAGTGTAATCCTCACAAGAACCCTGCGAGGAAGATAGGACAGCAAGTGCCCTGTTCCTGTTTGTAAACGTGCATTACACCCTGCAACAATACCTACAACAGAACCTTGCTAGTTGTGGGGGTTCGCAATAAAAGTTTCTGTTTGAATGAATCCTAGAGTGTGCAGGGACACAGCAATGGAAGACCTGGTCCCTTTGTCTGTACTTACCCTATAGCCAGTTTATTGTGAGACACCTGCCTTCTGGCCACTTTTACTGTTAGTCCAGGTTTCCCAGTCTGTCCTTTCTGACTCCCTGCCTTACCTCCTAAAAAGCTACCTCCCCTTTTCCCACTCTTGATAATGAACACTATGCACTTTCCACGTTCAAAGCATGCCACACTCCCTGTCTCCCTCGCCTTGGCCTCCCTAACCCAGGCTTGTCCTAGTGAAATCACTTGCAAAGCCTGCCCTTTCAACTTGCTGTGTTTTCTCCATCAAACACAATTTTCATCGAACATCCCCCAGGAGCACCTTAAATGACTTCCTTTTGCCTAGGTTCTGATTTAGCTTTCTCAATAAGGACCTGAAAGTCAAATTCCTAGTGCCACACTAACTCTCTACCAAGAAGAGGCGATAGGTTTTAGTTTGGGGGTGGGAGTAGGGGAGGATGATTTACTTCCCCATCCTTCTGAAACTTCCTCACAGGAACCTTTTCCTTCTTTGGGCTTTTCGTCCCGGTTTTTCTCCAGCTGTCTGTTTTTCCTTCTGAACTTGGCTGTTCACCGTTGAGCCTTTTACTGTGCCTTACATGGTCACCTAACTTTGGGCCTATACTGTATTTGGCCCTTTCAGACTGTAGTTTCATGTGAAGCAGCAACTTGTGTGTTGTCTTGCATTGTTTTGTATCTTCCACAGCACCAGATATAGGACTATACACATAGTACAAGTTCAGTAAAGTATTTCTAAATGATCGAACAATTTCTCCAAGTGAAGAAACTGAAGGAAAATAGATCAGCTAAACCAGTTAGACCCACAGGGTACCAAGCAGAAGCAAATGTTAAACTGCACGATGACTGTATTTCTACAACTCAGGGCTCACAGAGACTCCAAGAGAAAGTGTAGCAGGATAAGCCGCAGATAAAACTCCTCAGACACTGGATTAAAGAAGGAAGACGTTTTTTATTCGGCCGGGAGCATCGGCAGACTCGCGTCTTAAGAGCCGAGCTCCCTTGGCCTTTTTAAAGGCTTACAACTTTAAGGGATCCGTGTAAAAGGGTCATGATAAATCAAGCAAGCGTGGAAAACGTGACGGGGGGCTACATGCATCAGCTAACAGAACAAAAAGTTTTACAGTGCTTTCTCATACAACGTCTGGAATTTACAGATAACACTAGTAGTTTTGGTCAGGGGTTAATATTATCATTATTATTTTAACCACCAGGGCCAGGTGGTGGTGCCAAGGTCGTCTAGCTATTTATCTTACTTCTGTTTCTTTCCAACTTTTTGCTTTCTTCCCCTTCTCCTGTTTTATAAACTAGGGAAAAGGGGAGACGGGGAAAAGCCCGGAAAGACAACAGGAGAAGTGGTGGTCTCATTCTATAGAAGAAAAAAAGAATCCTCACAATAAAAGTATGAGCCACTCAAAGAAACATGCCATCATGGGACAGAATGGACAAAACAGGAAGAACTTGAGGTAACGGTACCATCTCAACATTAAAAGGAAAAAAGCAGGTTTCAAATGAAGGCGAAGATAATAGGAAGTACTAGTAAAAAGAATAGGAATTGTAAAGGAAACAACAACAACAACAACAAAACAGGTGTATTTGAAAAAGAGCCAAACAGAACGTCTAGAAATGAAAAGTATACTCACTGAAATGATTTAATGAAAGAAAATCTTCCTCAGCAATCAAGCTAGTGAGCAGTCTGGCAGTAAATCTTTAGAGCTATAAAGGAGTTAGCTCTGCCAGGCACGGTGGCTCACACCTGTAATCTCAGCACTTTGGGAGGCTGAGGTGGGTGGATCACCTGAGGTCAAGACCAGCCTGGCCAACATGGTGAAACCCCTAAAAATACAAAAATTAGCTGGGCATGGTGGCGCATGCCTGCAGTCCCAGCTACTCGGGAGGCTGAGGCAGTAGAATCAGTTGAACCTGGGAGGCAGAGGTTGCAGTGAGCCGAGATCGCGCCACTGCACTCCAGCCTGGACGGTAAGAGTGAAACACCATCTCAAGAACAACAAAAAAGTTGTTAGCTCTGGGCTTGGGTAATGCCCCCCACTTTGGTGCCACCACCCTCTGCATATGCCACCTGACAGTGCTGACCACACTGCACTGTGACTGCCTGTTTTCTTGTCAGTCTTCCTTGTTAGACTGTAAGCTCTTTGACAGCCAGGACTGTTCTATTCATGGTGAACCCCAAGTCTGGCTCAATGCCGGGCACATGATAGGAACACAACAAATATTACTAGAAAATGAATGACTAAGCAGAGACACTCTCCAAAATTGTACAGTTTTTTATGGTAGCACTAATTACAGAATCAAAACTTTAGGAAGATCCATGTGCCCAATAGGATCAAGCAAAAGAAAAAAAGTCAACAAGAAATAAGACTCTTGTAAATCTTGAGAATTGCCAATATAGACCATCCCAGGTCCCTGGAATCCTGTGGGATATGTTGTAATGAAAAGTAAATGCAAAATAGTAAGTACCCACCATTGCAATTAATTTGACATCATACTGATCCAGTCAGGAGGGAACTGAGGTGATGTCAAGGGCAGCATGAGTGTTCTGGCCTCACCTGATGTTTTCTGCTGTTAACGGAATACTACAGACTGGGTAAGTTATTAAAAAAAAAGAAACTTATTTCTCACAGTTCTGGAGGTGGAGAAGTCCAAAAACGTGGCACCACTGTCTGGTGAGGGTCATCCCATGGCAGAAGGTGGAAGGCGGAGTGAGCACACTAGACAGAGAGATCAAATGGGGGCTGAACTTGTCCTTTTTTCTGAAGCCCATTCTTGAGATAACTAATCCACTCCTGAGATAGGAGCATTAATCTCCTCTTAAAGTTCCCATCGTTAATACCATTATATTGACAGTTAAATTTCAACAAGAGTTTTGGCAGGAATATTTAAACCATAGCTCCTGGGAAGGTGCACAAGGTGTGAGGAGAATCCACCTTGGTGTAAAGAAGATGGGCTCATTTCGATGTAGGATTCCTGTTTACTAGTTCTGGGTGAGAACTAGTTCTGGTTGCTGCCTCTGATCTTGCTTGTCTGGGGTGAGGGCAAGTTGGGAGTGGGAACACTGGCTTTTCTTCTGCCTTTGGATCCCTGGAGTCCCACACTCAGACATCAACCTCCCCCCAGAAGCCAAGCTGCAAAAGGAGCCAACTTTAGGTCCTGGTTCCAATTCCACTTGCCTCTGCCTCTCCCCACCCTCTTAAAAAGAAAACAACAACAACATAGGATTATACTGAACAACTATGTATGTATTTATGTGTTTATGAGAGAGTCTTACTCTGTTGCCCAGGCTGGAGTGCAGTGGCAAGATCTCGGTGCACTGCAACCTCCGCCTCCCAGTTCAAGCAATTTTTGTGCGTCAGCCTCTCGAGTAGCTGGGATTACAAGTGGCTACCAGCACGCCTGGCTGATTTTTGTATTTTTAGTAGAGACAAGGTTTCATCCTGTTGGCCAGGGTGATCTCAAACTCCTGAGCTCAAGTGATCCACCCGCCTTGGCCTCCCAAAGTGCTGTGATTATAGGCAAGAGCCACCGTGCCCAGCCTG